ACATCAGAGCCCAAATGCAATTTCAGGGCCACCAACCCTGCTCTGAATTGTGACCTCCTGTGCTTGAAACGAGCTGCAGATTTTCTTAATATTCCTCCAGAGTTGCAACTTGATCACAGTGCCATCCTTGCCCTAAAGTAGGGATCGTTGCAGGTGACTTTTCAACCAGCATGCCAGCAGCCTTCTCTGGTCTGGGAAGATTAGTGAAAGTGTCATTGACGCTTGATGCAGTCTTGGTAAACTTCAGAGCTTTGCGCTCCCCCCTGAAAATTCGGTAGCATCATTGTATCATCTGGAGCACCGTGGTCAGATTAGCCTTATGTACACGAGGAACGTGTGTGAATGACTGTAGTGTGTTCAAGGTAGCGTGCGTGCTTCAACACTTGTAAATTTCCGATAATCAAATATCGCATATTTGAAATGTTTCTTTTTCAACAGTCAATGCTGTCTTGACATCTTGTAATTATAATAATATAATAATAGTATTATTATTATTACGATTACGAAAAGCAAAATATTAATAATATCAATGAAAATCTTGTAATTACCCAGCAATGATCTGCTCCGCGTTTTGATTTCCAATTAAAATATTCAATACAAGTAAAAAAAAGTAGTACCTCTGGTTAGTTATTAACACCTTTTCTTTAGGAGACCCAAATCAAACAAACAACAACACTCAAAAAAAAAATCATTCACCAGAAAAAAAAACCAATAGGATAAATAATTAATGTGTACACGTCAATCAAATAACAAACTTTTCAAAATGTCGTTTGATAATAAGAAAAATAAAAAAAGCAAAAACAATGAAGAAGAATTTGAAAGAGGGTAAGTGTTTTAAGGATGGTGGTGGTGGTTATCGCCTGCCACTCGTCGTTACTCTAGTTATTTAAAAAGAATGGTGGTGGTGCAATATTGAAACACGCGTCATTCTAGTTTCATTAATACATTTAACCAATAAACTAGACAAACATCCAAAAAAACAAGAATCGAGGAACCTCGGCCGGCTAAATGGACTAGTTTAGTCCATAACGGAGTCTGGTTTCCTCCAGAGTACGTTCCTCATAATATTAAAATGAAATATAATGGTATGGCGTTATATAATCTAATTTTATTTTTTAATGCATGTGCATTTGAAAATATTATTATTGTTGTTATAATTTTTTAATTATGTTTCTAAACTTTTTACAATAATCATTATTGATTTTTTTTTCAAAGGAGATGAAATAAAACTCTCTCCTGAAGCCGAAGAAGTAGCAACAATTTATGCTGCATTGTTAAACACAGACTACATAAAGAATGACACTTTCAACAAGAACTTCTTTAAAGATTGGAAAGCTGTATTGAAAGCTACCACTAATTCCCGCCCTCCTTTAGTGCCAGTCCGAACTCAATTGAATGAACAGCTGGTGAGGATAGTGATGTTGGAACTAGTGTTCCATGTCGCAATCCAAAAAAGGAAACAAAATGGTTGTAAAGGTGGTTGCAACCAGTGGTTGCAATTGTTTTTATATGACGCAAAGATGGTAGCAACCATCATCAAAAGTTGCAGCCAGTATCCTTAGTTGGAACATCAACAACAACTACAATTTTACATTTTTATTTTATTTTTTATAATTATAATTTTATTGATTTTGTATTTAATACATACAATAAATAATTAATTCTTTTTCATTTCTTAATTTTTACTCAAAATAATTAATTCTTGAATTTTTATGACTTGGAATGTTAAACTCACACTCTTGTTGAATGGGATTTTTGCAATCAACCTGTAACCCATTGTCTTCGCCACATAATTGTACTCAATGGGTTTCTTGAAAGGGATTTTTGTGATCGACCTGTAACCCATATCCTTGCCAATAATTGTACTCGATGGGTGTCATACTTGCTACCCATTCATAATTGCGCAAGTCATAACACAATAACTAATTTCCTCATCATTTTTTAAAATTTTAAAAAGATGTCTTATTATCTGTTAGTTTATAAAAGTTGCAACCAAAATCTACATAGTTATGGCCGAAATATATAATTGCAACTGAAAAACAATTTTCAATAATCTAATTGATACACATTCCAGGAATAACTAATACCACAAAGTAAAACAGTTTGTTTAGAGATCCAGAGCCATGATGACAAATCAAATGTAAACCCGATTTTTATCATCGATGCTTCATATAATAATCTAAAGAAATCAATAAAATAAATTTATGTAATTCTGAAGAAATCAATAAAATATTTTATATTCTTTATTCACTGAATTGGGATCTAAAGAAGTGATTAAATCAATATAAATCCAAGGTGTTTTACCAAGCCATACTAATAAAATAAAAATAAAAATAAAAACAAACACAAAATAAAATTATACACACAAAACGTAATTAAACATTTTAAATCATACACACAAAACATTGATCAAACAAATTATTTTTTGAAATATAAAACTTACAATGCCTCCCAAAAAACAAAATATTCATTTAAAAAAAGCAAGAAACTCTCGGAATTTTGATTCTTTAAACTTTGATGTAAATAGCAATGATGAAATAATTTATGACTCTGAAACAATAATTGACTCGGATGAAACTGAATTATCATCTGACACATCTGACAATGAATCAAATGGTGAAATTTGGTATGATGAGACTTTTGAGGATGATTTTAACTCAATTTTACCTTCGGTTTTTGATAAAATGATGACAGCAAGTGCAAGTACAAGTGCAATTTCATCAAGTTCTAATCAAAAAAGACCTTCCGTTTACATTGGTAATGCAGAATCCACAATTAGGCGAAAAAATGCTGCATTTAGAGCTGCTGCTGCAAATACCAATCC